ATGTCCTCTGTCCCCGTTATTATTTATATGGATTCTTGAAGTACTGCTGAGACAAATTAGGGAAGATAAAGAAATTAAAGGTTTAACCAATAAAGGCTTTTCTTATAAATACAGAGCTTTTGCTGATGATGTGATGTTTATGGTTGAAGATCCTATACGGAATTTACCATTGTTAATGGAAAGAATAAAAGAGTTCGGAGACCTTGCAGGCTTCTATGTTAATAAGGACAAATCTAAGGTGATGTGTAAGAACATGACTGGAAAAAAACAAGAGGAGTTACAGAAGTTGGTGCACTGTGAAGTGGTGAAAAAGACTAAGTATTTAGGTATTGAATTGACAATGAAAAACAGATCTTTATAAGAATAATTATGACAAACTGTGGCCTAAAATACAACAGGATATCAAGAAATGGAACACTTTGAATTTGTCACTGTTGGGAAGAATTTCTGTGGTTAAAATGAACATTTTGCCTCGACTAATGTTTTTATTCCAGACAATTCCAATAGTAAGAGATTTGAAGGTATTCAATATGTGGCAAAGAGAAATTTCAAAGTTTGTTTGGGCTGGGAGAAAACCACAGATTAAAATGAAGATTTTGTGCGATGCAAAAGAAAGAGGTGGATTCCAGTTACCAAACTTTAGACTATATCATGAAGGTCTGGCTTGCAACAGTGGATTCTGTTGGACAATAAGAAACTTTTGGCGTTAGAAGGACATGATTGTAAATATGGTTGGCATGCCAATTTATGGTATGAAAAAGTGAAAATTGATGGTTTTTTAAAACATCATTACATTGGAAGAAATTTGTTAGATATATGGACTAAATATAGAAGGTTTTTCTCAGACGAAAGACCTCTTTGGATAGTACCGGCAGAGGTTATAAAACCTTTTTCGACATATAAGGGAGAAGACTGGGTACAGTATAGAGACATGTTGAAAGCAGTGGGTAAAACATTTGAAATGAAAATGGAGGATGACTTGGCATTTAAATATGGATGGTTGCAATATAGACAGATTAATGATTTGTTTAAAAAAGATAAAAAAGCTTTTGGGTTTAGGCAGAAAAATAATGAAATTGAGAATATATGGTTTGAGGGAGGGAAAAGCTCATTTCAAAAATGTATAAGATATTGTTAAAATGGTATACAGAAGATGAGACAGTTAAAGAACAAATGTTAAAATGGGCAGTTAATATGAACAAAGAAATAATGATGTCATCTTGGGAATTTTTATGGAAAAATGCGATGAAAATATCAACGTGTAAGAAAGATGATGTATAGATGGTATATGACACCAAAAAAGATTCCTAATATGAATAGTAATATGTCAAGTAAATGTTGGAAATGTAAAAAAACAGAGGGCTCATTTTATCATATGTGGTGGACTTGTGAAAAAGTGAAAAAGATTTGTGTAATAGATTTAAAAGGAGGTTAAGAGCATTTAAGAACTGAGCAGGAAGTTGGAGCACTGTGGGAAGCCGAAAGGGGGGGGGAGGGTAGGAGGGTAGGATATATGGGTATAAAAGTGTTTGATATATATTGACTTGTGTTTACCATATCCTAATAAAATGATTATTTTTTAAAAAAAAAGAAATAACAAGGAAACGATATGCAAAATCCAGGTTTGCTTATAAGGAGATTTTAATAAGCAGTGATCAAGGTTACAGCAGTAGCAGGCTAAGTTCCCATCCGCTGGGTCTTGAACGCACACATGCACAGCAAAAGCTAGCCAGACCACAAAACAAGATACATAGTTAAAACTAAGCATCTTATATCCTAAGTACTGGCTAACAGTCAATAAATCATTAATCAAACTATTCCAGACATTGAGATGAGCCCGGCCATCTCGTGCCTGGCATCTAGTGGTGAGAGAAAACAAATCAGGCTTTCTAGATAAGAGCTGCTAACAAGCATGAGAGAGAAGAATATTCTCTTGGGAGCACCCTGACAGCCATCCCCTCAAAGAAGGCAACCAAAAGTTGAGCACCAGCCTGTAACAAAGATGGAGTTACAAAAGCTGTATAGTAGTTTTCCACAAATATGGACTTTGACAGTCTTCACCTACTTCACTATCACTAAAAGCAGAGGTCATTTCGGGGGGGAACGCGGGGGATCGCAGTCCTCCCGGGTGAGGTACGGGGGCGGGGCACATGACGAAGCCCCGCCCCCTGCTTCCGGCCGTCCCGCTTCCGGCCCTCATTCAGCCAGGAGGAGGCAGGAGAAGAGGGAGGGTAAGTTGCTTCCTCCCTGCCTCTCCCCACCCCTGCCTGCCTGCCTGGGGCCAGGGAGGGCCTTCGTGGGGCTTCCTCGCACTCCCACCGGCCTTGCAGGTCCACCGCCGGGCCCCTCATGGGGCTCGGCAGTGGAGCTCCAAGGCCGGCAGCGACGGCCGGGACCGTTGGGGGCGGGGTGTGTGGCCTTATGACACACTTCTGGTGATGTCAGGGGGTGTGGCCTTATGACACACTTCCGGTGATGTCAGGGGGTGTGGCATATGCTAATGAGTTATGCTAATGAGTTCCCCTAGCTCTTTTTCTACGAAATGACCCCTGACTAAAAGTCTTCTATTTTGATGCCTTACATCAAATCTGTGAAAAATATGACTGGTTCTGATGCTTCTTTCGCTAGGCTCATTGCCTTATAGAGAGTAACCTTAATCATAAGAGCATGAGAATAGCAGTTCTGGCTCAGACTGTTTTTTACAATGATCTGCTACTAGCAGTAGCTGTTGACATGCTGTGAAGTAGGGCAAGATGGAAGATAGTCCTTGTTTGTACTGAGTAACTTGTAATCACCTGATAAACATGGAAGCTGTGATTCATTTTTTGCTATTACAGTTCAGCAGCATTGTTTAACTTTATACTTGTTTAGGCTGGAGTGCTTCTTCTGTAAAGAAAGGTTTAAGAGTGTGGGACTCTTTGGGTATAGGGTAAAGGAGGGCATGATAGAAGTTTGTAACATTATGCGTGGTGTAAATAAGTAGAGAGAACAGTTTCTGCCTCTCGCATTATACTAGAACTCACTGTCACCCAGTGAAGTTGATGGGTAGTAAATTCAGGCCATACTATTTTATGTAGGTAAGTGCCATCAAGTCGCAACCGAGTTATGATGACCATAGCAAGGGGCTTTCAAGGCAAGAGAGAAGCCATGTGCCTTTGCCTTCCTCTGCAGAGCCTTGGTGGTCTCCCATCCAAGTATACCCCTGCTTAACTTCTGAGATCTGATGAAATCAGGTACTACCATGACACTTTCCTTTCCAATTTGACAATAAATTGAATTCAGATTCTGGAGTTCAGGTCCATCAGTGACTACTAGTCATGGTGGCAAAGGGAATGTCCACATTCTGAGGCAGTAAATAACTGTGATAGGAGGCAACATCGGTGAAACAGGACTAGATGTACCAATGGTCTGATGTATGTACTTAAGTTTCATACTTACTTTAAAAGAATTTACTATCTAACTGTGAGCTAGGATCAGTTCATGCACTTTGGCATTTCTCTCAGGTTGATGATCGCTATAGAAAGAATAATCAGGGCTCCCCTGAAGCACAGTCTAAACAGACAAGCAAAGCATTGGAGCCACCAGTGCCTTCAAGATCAGAGTCCTTCTCAAATGGAAATTCTGAGCCTGTTCAGCCTTCATTGCAAAAGCCAATGGAACCACAGGTAAAAACACACACTGTAAAGGGGCAGGGGATATGAGAGAGAAGTACGGAAACCAAGTGATATAATCTTAAAACATGAATATGTTTGTAGTTTGGAAAACACTTAGTGCATATATGTCAGTTTATGAGTGAATGAGTTACTTTGTTCCTCCTACATTAAGCCACGCTACCTAACGGTACATTCACACATGCCTCTTTCTGTACTCCTGATGAAACCTAACCGGAAAACAGTTTTTTCTAAATACGCAAAAGATGCTTTAAAAAGGGCATGCACCGTATGTAAATCAGTAAAGAAACAGAGGCTTCTTTATTTGAGATAGGTACCCTAAGCTAATTTTACCATATAATAATAGGCCAATATCTTGTTGCTTTTCAATGCTAGTTTTCTCTGTAATTTTTTTTTTTAATTGAAAGCTGAAGCTTTTATTGGCATTATTTCATAGTAAGCTGCCCGTGACAAAATATATGTGGTGTTATGGCCACTTTTGATGATAACTCTTGAAATTGTAGTAAGGCATCTTTTAAACATTTCCTATGGGAAAATGAGGTGAAGCACAGGAGGAGCATATGAAAGAGTTTCCAGGAGGTTTTAAGACACACGAACATTAGACTTCTAACACAGACTTTTGGCATTCTATTCCTTCCCTGTTGATTACAAATGTTGTTCACTCATAGAAAGAGCATGTATGTGGTAAGGTATTTTGTTTTTTTGGATTTTGCTATGGACTACCATGTCCTCCTACATTTATATCCAACAGCTGCTTAAGCAGGCCTTAATTCTCATTAGTGTACTTTAACAACCCCAAACAAACCAAAGGCCCATTTATGAGAGACAAGGAACCTTTAAAAAAGCCACTACATTTAACAGCTTTATCTGTCATTCTGAACCCATAATGGGAGCCACTGCATAAGCAATACCAACTTTGCATCCTTCTCTACCACCAAATACTCACCAGATAAAAGGATGGAGAACTATTTGGCAGTGATAGACAAAGCAAGGGGAGAAATACTGTGGAAACTCACTTTTATGTTTAAATCACAGCAAGATCCTGTGAGTTATGAAGATAGGATCGTAGTTGTTGAGTGGGAAAATGTATGTTTTGAAATTGGAGGGGTGATTTATAGAGGTTATTACCCTAGCAATTTTCATTTAAAGGTAAAGGTAAAGGTTCCCTTGCTCGAAAGCCAGTCGAGTCCGACTCTAGGGTTGCGGTGCTCATCTCCGTTTCAAAGCTGAAGAGCCAGCGCTGTCCAAAGATGTTTCCGTGGTCATGTGGCCGGCATGACTAAACACCAAGGCGCACGGAACACTGTTACCTTCCCACCGAAGTGGTACCTATTTATCTACTTGCAATTTCTTGCTTTCGAACTGCTAAGTTGGCAGGAGCTGGAACTAGGGACGGGAGCTCACTCCGTCATGCGGCAACTCGGGTCTTGAACTGCTGAACTACTGACCTTCCACAGCCTGCAGTTCAGCGTCTTAACCACTTGAGCCACTGCAGCTCCTAATTTTCATTTAGAGGATTGCTTTTGACACTTTCACTGAACTAACACCTGTGTAGTATGCTTATAGATAATATGGAAATGTCTGACTGAGTCGTTCCAATTTGTAGGAAGCTCTTTGCAAAACTATTTTATATATACTACTGAAAATCTTTCTCCTGTGTGTTTGTGGCCAGAGGAGTAATTCTAAAACCATCCTGTGAAGGTGCAATACATCATCATAGCTGGCCATTTGTGTAGAGCAGTGGTCACCAACCTTTTATAAATAAATTCTGAAAAATATCCAAAGCTCCCCACACACACATGTCACCAGATTTTGTTCTGACCTCAAAAGAAAACATAGGAAGAGTGTCAGTGAAGTTATCGGCTAAGTAGCACAGAGAAAACCCCCTACATGCCTTTTGTACTAACGTTATTCTCAGCATAGTTTCTTGGTGATAGAGAACATCCTGCTCAAACCCAATATGCAACATTAAAGGCTCCTGTCTTTCAGCCCTTGTTGACTCTTTAGCATTTCTAGCTTACAATACTTTAGAATCAAAAACTGGCAGCATTTCTCTGCCAAGGTCTACAATACTACAATTTGCAACTTAAAAAAACAACAAACCTCACTATCTTTCCATAGCTGTTCTTGACCTAAACACTCTGAGATTCATTCAGAATCCCCCCTTTTATTAATTGCTTCTCATCTCAATACTCCGCCTTGTTTTTTCCTTAAACCACCTAGTCTTCCCTCAGAGTAATTTTATTAATTACTTCTCATCTCAATACTCCGCCTTGTTTTTTCCTTAAACCACCTAGTCTTCCCTCAGAGTAATTTTATTAATTACTTCTCATCTCAATACTCCGCCTTGTTTTTTCCTTAAACCACCTAGTCTTCCCTCAGAGTAATTTTATTAATTACTTCTCATCTCAATACTCCGCCTTGTTCTCCCCCTTGTTTTTTCCTTAAACCACCTAGTCTTCCCTCAGAGTAATTTTTGTCAATCCATTCCTTTCACTGCAGTTTCCTTCAGTTTCTGGCCACCTTGCCCCTTAGTTTACCTTCATCCCAGTACTTTTTCCTAGAACCTTGTTCCTGTATGAATTTAATCCCAACCAGACAACTTTCTCTCTCTTCACAGAACCTGGACTGCAAATTACTTGGTTCCCTAAGTAACTAAACATTATTTACTAGCTCATCAGCTTAGCCAAATTTATCCCCCCCCCACTAAGTACAATGAGATGGGTATATTAATACCAGTGCTCACACATCCTGTTGTTAGTTTGGTATACTGAAGGGGCAGACAGTAAGTTGTACTGTATGTCGTTATACTGTGCTCAAAGATCGATAGTGATTACTTGCTTGTGAATTGATCGTGAGGTGTGAGCTACAGGGCTTGTGAAGAAAGGGGTGAAGTAAACAGTTAAGCATTACAAAATTTCCTAGTTCTAAATTCCCTACTTCTAAATTACTAAAAAATACTACACTTGTCTGTACATTCCCATGCCCCTCTTCATTGAATACACAGGCTATTATTTGTAGTGATTCAGTAGCAAAATTCAGTATAATCTCCAAATAGTATACATGAGAAGTCCTTTGTGCAATCTTAATTAAAGTTTTACTTCCATATTTGATGTGCTCATTCTAATGCATGCTTTATATTTATAGTAATTAGCCTGTGATACATGAAACGTATTATATTCTTATACAGTGTAGTATATGTGTGTTTATATGCCAGCATGCATTTATATACTGACTCTAGGGAAAATAAAGGATGTCTATTATTCCCTGTTATTGTCTCTCATAATGCCTTAAAATCAATTTAGTGCATAATCACTGCTAGGGTTGCCAGGTCCCTCAGACCTTCTGGCGGGGGATGGGAGAACTTACCGGGAACAGGGAGGAACGCTGAAAATAAACACAACATGCTTACATGACCTCGAAGTGACGTAGGCAAAACCAGAGCATTGGGGGGGGGGTCTGGCATCCCTAATCACTGCATTGTTTTGAATTGCTTATATTCAGCAGTATTATGAATTCGATACTTCCATTGCAATTTATCATCTGGAATGGGTGCCATTTAGGGTTCTTGCCTTGACTGAACACCGAAGCAACTCTGCAGGATGTGGGTTGCTCTCGTTCCATATCATTGTGTGTTTTGAATGCTCACAAATGCCTATATTCTGTATTTGCAGTCCTTTTTTGTTCTCTGGATTCCTTCCTTGCTTTAAGCCCATTAATTTCACCAGAAGCTTGCCTTGCATCATATCCAAGTTGTGCTTCTCCTGCCACCAAACCCCTCTGTTGCCTTTATTCTGTGTTTAATTGGGGTGGGGGAGCCAGTTGTACAGAACGCATTGAATGTTCTATGTTTTGTTTCTTTCGTAAGGTACAGTGGTCCCATCTGGCATCTCTCAAGAACAATGTTTCCCCTGTCTCGCGGTCCCATTCCTTCAGTGACCCTTCTCCCAAATTTGCACATCACCATCTTCGCTCTCAGGACCCATATCCACCTTCACGCAGTGAAGTGCTAAGTCAGAGTTCTGACTCTAAGTCTGAGGTACCTGACCCCACCCAAAAGGCTTGGGCTAGATCAGACAGTGACGAGGTGCCTCCAAGGGTAAGAAGTAGAAAGACAGAAATTTGAGTTTTTTTAAAAAAACAAGAGCGCAACAAAAGGCATATGCTAGGTTTTATCTAGTGAATGCATGCCCATAGAATGATACTGGTATTGGAAACAGTACTTTGGGCAAGGACTTTGCCCATGACCTTTTTAATCATGTTGCCTATGGAAATGTGTTGCAGGAGTTACTGCCTTTATTTGCAGTTCTAAAATACTTACGAGCTGTGACTGTTGCACACAATAAAATATTTATTATACAAAAGACCTTTATGGATTTTAGTTATTTTTCTGCCCCTGATTGGCAGATACAGCTTTACATCAGTAGCTGTATTAAGGTACAACTGACCCAAAAAAATTTTTTTTTCCTTGGTTTACTTCTGTCAGATATAATCTTGCTTTCCCCAGTCTCTGCCTTCTACTGATCCATTTCTAGGCATTTATTGGCTCCTTAGAGCTTAATTTTCTAAATTCTCATGCTATTACAGCAAATTGCTTTGTGCCTCCCTTGCTTCAAAGTTCTGTGTTCTTTTAAACTGTCATGGTAGTCTGTGAGTGGGTATTTGTGTTCATGTGCTAGCTACCTACTAAACTTTGTCTTTTCAGCATCTTAGATGCAGTCCAACTGAGCTTATTGGCCTGTAGTTATAACACTTTATTCAATAGTACTGTTTTGGCAAAATAAATAAATAAACCTACACAATTTTCAGATGCAACCTGTATCAACCAAAGTTTAGTTGTTGCTATGTTATCTTAAGTATTTCTCTTTAATGTAAGGTACCTGTGAGAACAACATCAAGATCACCTGTGTTATCTCGTCGAGATTCTCCACTGCAGGGCAGTGGGCAGCAAAATAACCAAGCAGGTCAAAGAAACTCTACAAGGTTTGAAAGTTCTTTTAGTGATTGGGGGAAGGAGCTCGTTAAGCTGGCTGTTCCTGTAGAACATGAAATTTGGGGTATATTCGTTTAAGCCTACGTAATTCCCAGGAAAGTATTTTACTGCTAATATCCCAGAGGTGATTTAATGCCATTCATGTGGGATTTTTTTGTATGCACCCTGCATGATCAAATCTATATTAAACCACATCCAGAAGAATAATGATAAACACTAAATGTTTGTAATTTCATGAAAGTTAATGACAGAGAATAACAAAGCTATCAGTTTGGTATATAACATATTTTTGTATAAATTTACTCTTAAGTTTGTCTAAACTCAAAACAATTTTTTTTTTAACATTATGGATTTGGTGTCCTGTCCTGTCTGAGATACATCTCATAATTACAGTTATATTCCTGGAAGATTATATGAAAGTAGTCTTCCAAATGTTCAGATTTTAAGCCCTGTTTACGTTACAGTGAATATGCATACAAACCATGTACACTTAGTGGTTCTTAATGCATGCGTTGAGAAATTCTAACATTACGATCAACGCATGTACAGCTAAATATGAGATTTAAACCCCATATTTATTCAGGTACTGAACCCTGGTTTCATTTGTAAAGTGAAGATATATCTGTGTGTGTGTGTGTGTGTGTGTGTGTGTGTCTGTGTCTGTGTGTATAGAGAGAGACATATATACATACACATTTATATATACATGTACACACCAGTTAAACGTGTTTACTGTAACATATGAACCAGGCTTACTTAGGTCATTGAGTTTATCCTGTTCTTCAGTTAAAATTATTTTAAAAACCAGTTGTACATACTTCTGTTTTCAACTGTTCCATTTTGGATGTTTACTAGAAGTCTGAATTACTAATACACGACATGAGGCTAAGAGCATCTTTTGAAAAAATAAAAGCATTGTTAATGTTGAATGTCAAGGTTAAATTAAGTTATTAAATTTATATATATATATATATATATATTCTTCCACCCTCACAGCAATATAGAGCCTCGTCTGCTCTGGGAGAGAGTAGAGAAGCTGGTCCCCAGACCAGGAAGTGGCAGCTCCTCTGGTTCTAGCAATTCAGGTTCACAGCCCGGCTCACATCCTGGGTCTCAGAGTGGATCTGGAGAGAGATTTCGAATGAGATGTAAGAATTTTTGTCTCTTTCCTGCATTATTAATCTGATATTTTGATTTGTACGGGGTGGTTTAAAATAACTTTAGATATGTAAACAGTTGGGGGGAAGTAAGACTGAATTTGTAGGTTGAACCCATTTTCATTGCTTATAAATCATCCAGAAATCTTGGTAAACAGTCTGTTGACCTTTGTGATCAGGAGTAGGCTTGCCAATCGGGCCCTGGGGGGAACCCCACTTTCAAAGCACATGACGTGCCCAGCGTCAGCACGTCACCCGAAAGTTACGCAGCCTCGCCGGCGCACCAGGGGCGGGGCCACGGTCATCCGAGGAAAAACTCTATGTTTTTCCCTCCGATGACTGCGGCCCTGCCCCCGGCGTGCCCAACGTGGCTGCGTCACTTCCGGGTGATGTGGTTGCGGCGCGCACGCTATGCGTGCGCACATGCACTCTCGGACCACAGTTGGAGTCCCCCACTGTACATACAGTGGGGACTTGGCAACCCTAATTAGGAGAGAGCTGGGCATCATTGATGTCACTGTCAATTTTTTTGCACTGGCTTTAGCTATTCAAAATTAATGTGACCCCGGTCGTGGAATTATTAGTGACAGTAAATCAAATGAATGACTGATTATATCTTTAAAATGTTTACGTGGGAAAATATTCAACGTAAACTGCAAGAAGCTGTGTGCTTCTGGCCAGGTATGCAGGTTGTTTTCTCTAGCCTTGATAGTGAGTTAATTTTGGGAAGAGTGAACGGCTCAACTTCTCTGTAAATGTGGCATACCAAATAGATTATAGGGGAAGATGTTATAACATAGTATTGGATGCGAAAGTACAGCAATAGCTTCTCTAACAGAACACCCTTTCTTCCTTCAGAGGAGAAGAGATTTTTTTCCAGTTTCCCATCTCCTGCTGCAGACTCACAATTTGCTACCCATGCTGGTCCTTCAAGTTCCATAGCAGCATAATTTTGGAGAGGCAGGGAAATCTGCAGTTAGAGGCCAGACGCAGGGAAGTTGCCTTCCTCTAGCTCAATTTCACCTGTGTTGCTTAGGATCCAAGCCTCAATTTTTTGTTCACATTGGAAACCATAGTCCCAGTTTGAACCTATTGTGACATTTTGTATTCTGGAAAAGAAATCACAAACCCTACAATTCCATCTATTTCAAGTGATGGATATTGTGCATGTTTAGCAGTAGAGCTCTGACATTTCAGTAGGCAAAGTATACTTGCATGGCTTGAAAATCCCCTTATTTTACTTTGCATGCTTCATTTTTCCCCCCCTGCTTTGTGCGGGTCTCATGTAGCATCATCAAAATCTGAAGGGTCACCATCACAACGTAATGAAAATGCAACTAAAAAGGCTGAAGAGAAGAAGGAAGCCTTCAGACCTAGCAAACCTGTGGTAAGCACAGCCTATTGTGTGTTAGCTCTGAATTTTTGCAGTGATATTTTATGTAAAAGACAGCTGTACAGTAAAATTTACAAAAATGTTTAAAGTTTTTTTAAAGATCTGGAAATGTTAGAAGCTAAAGTATACTATAAAACCTTTTAAATGATGAAAGTATGTGGACTTCAGGTAATGTTTTGAATCCAAATATTGTAGAAATGGTGGGGGGTAGTTTTACCACTTTCCTCTTTCCCACTGTTTCTGTATCCTATGAACAGAATTTTGGTGAGCTCTGTGGGAAAGGGGAGATGGGAAATTCAGTAGATGTGTCTTCTGTTAGTAGAAAACAACCTTTGGATTTAAGCCCCTCTTGATTTGTAATAACTTTATAGCCCCTCTTGATTTTTAATAACTTTATCTAGCACGTCATGGAAATTGAATTTAGGTTAAATCCCATTAAATCATCTAGTAAAACAGATTAATAAAAATGCAGCATTGGCAACAGAAAATATCAAATAGAGCATTTCAAGTATTTTTACTATAAGCCTAGGGAAAAACAAAAGTTTCATTGTTTATCAGTACTCCAGTTTCTGTCTGTTATACTGTGGCAGCTTCTAGCGGGGTCGGCCCTGGCTAGTATTTGGAAGGGCAACCTCCAAGGAATACCAGGGCTGCAATGCAGAGGTAAACAGTGGCAAACCACCTCTGAAATGCCTCTTGCCTTAAAAACAAGTCTAGCTTACCTCCTAGTGGTCCATAATGCTAAAAAGCTAGAACTTCTCCCTGCCAGACAATTCTAGGATCTCCTGGCTGTTCTATACACAATGCTATACGGTGATGATGAGGAGAATAATAATAATGATGATGATGATGGTAATGATGATAATAATAATAATAGGCTTCTAGTCTGTTCTCTCATTCTTTCACTTCAGTTTTTAAGCAAGCTAGTGCTGTTAGATCATTGTACTGCAGATTTACAGTTTAACTGTATTTACTTTTTACTGTATTAATTTTGTACTTCAACATTTATTCTTTCCTGACTATGTTCCACTCCATGCTGTTGGGCCAATGTTGACTTGATGAATCTGGTCACGTGGATGGTCTGCAGGGCGAAGTGGTAGGTAGCCAATCCTTGCAATTGACCCTACTTTTTAAATTATTTGACACATTTACATTGCTTCTTTCTCAGACACATTTATTTATTTCTACCCCATTTTTCCCTCCTGAATATTTAGAGCATGTTACACAGAAACACAATATAATATAATTTAAACAAACAAAATATATACAGAACAACCCCAGCTGCTGGATTCACTGGGCTTGCTCACTCAGGGTCACAGTGGGCTCTGAACCTCTTGCCTGGCCATTCCCTGTCTTGAAAGCTTGTAATAAGAAGGAAGGCAGAAACTTAGCCCAGATCATATGCAACTGGCAGAGATGTTCTTAAGATTCTCCTTGCCAGCACACCGGTTTCACCTATGTAGCGTCTAGATTTCTCTAATCCATGAGAGTATGTTTTCCAAGACGAATGCTTTAGCACTCACACATTGCAATCAAATACAAACCACTCAGAAATGGGTATGACACTGATTTTTTTTTTGCTTATTGTGTTTTGAAATATTACATGAAAAGATGTAAGTTATAACATGCTCCTCGAAGTAAATTTGTATATAATTTCTTAAATAATAGTGCAAAGCTTAAGCATGTTAATTTTTTAATAACGAGCTGGTAAGACTTCAAGGCCTGCAGTCCTCACTAGGTTATCGGGCAGGTTCCCTAACAAGAAAATCAATAGAACAAATTTAGAGTCCAGTGGCACCCTTAAGACCAACAAAGCTTTATTCAAGGTATGAGCTTTCCTGTGCACGCACCCTTTATCGAATACATTAGAATGGCAGGGAAGGTTCAGAGCTATAGCCAGAGAATGAACAGCAAATTAACATGTAACATGATGATGTTCAAGATATGCAAAGTGACGACTTCCGGTCTATGGCTTCAGCGATGGCGGAGGCTCTCTCCTGAACGGGGGAGGCATTCCGCGCTCCAGGGGTGTTGGAGGGGTGTCACCTCAAGTGGCACCCCCAGGTGAGCCTCAGTGTGGGGCTCCAAGCCGGGGGCGCTTGAGGGGCGACCTCTTCCACGGCTTGAAGCCGGGGAATTGAGGCGCTCCTCCCTGCCCCATTCGGTCCACCCCCTGAGAGGCTCGGTTTTTACCGAGCATATCTGAATGCCGATCGGGACAAGCAAGCGGGTCAGCGAATGACAGAGAATGAACAGCAAATTAACATGTAACATGATGATGTTCAAGATATGCAAAGTGACACTAAATAACAAGGTTATAAGGTCAACAGCTATAAAGCAATAAATATGTCAGACTAGCAGATGAATGTCTAAAGGTGTATTTTCTAATTGTGGGAAGACAATCCCACAATTAGAAAAGACACCTTTAGACATTCATAGACATTCATCTGCTAGTCTGACATATTTATTGCTTTACAGCTGTTGACCTTATAACCTTAACTTGTTATTTAGTGTCACTTTGCATATCTTGAACATCATCATGTTACATGTTAATTTGCTGTTCATTCTCTGGCTATAGGTTTGAACCTTCCCTGCCATTCTGATGTATTCGATAAAAGGGTGCGTGCACACGAAACCTCATACCTTGAATAAAGCTTTGTTGGTCTTAAAGGTGCCGCTGGACTGCTTCAGACCAACATGGCTGACCATGTGGATCTAAGAAAATGAATATTATTTGGAAAGAGATTTGCAAATCAAATTTTATATACAACTCTTTCCTTCAGTTGTGTTAACTGAAATGAAGCTTTGTCACAATAGCTACTAAAATAGCCAGATTCCCCATTACTTTTCCACCCAAGTCAGTACTTCCTACATTTATTGACAAATGAAGTGACATTCAGATTGGCCTTGCAGCTTCCTTATGATGCTTGTAGATGGTTGACTTAAACTACTTTTCAGTCTTCCCTCTCGCCTTGTTGAGGTATTTTATATCCCCTTACACAATGTCAGTTATAGATCTTCTAGCCATGTTATAGTCTATTGGTGCTCCTTTACCTGTATTTTTAATAAGTAATCTTCATTGCCAGAGGATCTCTAATACAGATCTTAAAGATCAAACAGTTCATTGGGAAAGATTTGCAGCCCTGTTCATGTGTTTGCACAATTTTCTGTAGTAATCTCCCCCCCTTTCTTTTCCTTCTTCTTCCTTCTAGGATTTAACTGCTTTGGCAAAGGAATTGCGGGCAGTGGAGGATGTGCGACCTCCCCATAAAGTGACAGATTATTCTTCATCCAGTGAAGAATCAGGGACAACAGATGAAGATGATGATGACATAGAGCAAGAAGGAGTTGATGAATCTACTTCTGGACCAGAAGATGCCAGAGCAGTGTTAGTTTGGGGGGGGGGGTTATTTCCCCTTGCTTTATTATGCATTATAAAGGATTTTGGTTTCTGAGTTTTGAAAAATTATAGTTTTGTTCATATATAAATAGGTGTCATGTGGCATATTGTATTCTGGACAAAGTGGAAAGGTTTTAAAGGTGAGGTATGATTGCGGCAGTGAAAAGCATCTGAAGATATCTAGCATGTTTAGAAAAGAGATTAAAGCAGGACATATTTCAGAAGTATGTCAGAAATGTGGGTGGGATAATGTTAAGACAGATGCATAATGGCTAAAAAGTGCACATATTCAAAGCATCATATTTTTCTTAAAAATATATATGGTTTACCCTTATCTTGTAAGAAGCTGCTTGCCTGAATGGAAAATACAAATGGCTCTGTTCCTGATTCCCAAAATGTCCATGCTTGGTCACCTAGGAACAGTTTTTATTTGCCACAGTTGTTCAGGTGACTGCCTATTTAGAAAAAAATTAAAAGTTCTCTGTCATAGCATGATTTATTTATTTATTTTGTATAATGATTTCACCCTCTCTTACATATTCTGTATTTGATTATGGTGGGCTAAAATGAACTTGGTCTTACTATTTTCGTGGATACGAAAGAATCAGAATGGAAACAGGAATGGCAGCTAGGTGCGTGTTTTTAAAAAACCAAAACCTTTGTCTCTTAACAGATCTACTCTAAACCTCAGCAATGGAGAAACTGAATCAGTAAAGACCATGATTGTGCATGATGATGTGGAGAGTGAACCTGCCATGACTCCTTCCAAGGAGGGCACTTTAATCGTCCGGCAGGTAACATATCCTTTCAGTGCATAATGTGCTCCTTCTTTATTCATTCCCTCATTTGTTCATACTCTTTTCTGTGTAGATATCAGGTGAAGGAGTTACAGACACAGATGGTAGCTTCTTGTGAATGAGTAGACATTTTGGAGCATACAAAGAAGTTAACAGTCTTCACACATTGTTCTTGCTCTGTTCGAATGTACTCACAATAACACACAACAATGCTGTGCAGAGTTTATCTTATTTGGCTCTAAACTAAGGGTTAAAAGACAAATAGTTACAGCTGCTGCATCAGGCCCTTGGAAGAAGGCTCTGTTGCAATCCTGAGTTATAATTTCTTGTGCTATTATATATGTTCACTGGAGGTAAAAGAACTAATTTTGGGAGTTGTGAGCCAATGGAAAATAAACCTGTCTAGTTTATTTTAATCAATTATACCTTACTCTTCTTGTGGGTAGAGAGAGGCTTACATGTTTCCCAAAAGGTCTATCATCCAGACAGTTTAGGAAGGTAAACCTTTAGCATTAGTTCTGCTGGCTCACCCAGCCTTTCGGTGTTGAAATATTGTGCAACGAACTGAGAAGGTAATGTTTCCTATGTCTTAAAATTGTCGATCTCTTCAAGCATAGGGTATGAACTTCACTAATTACACTCTTTAATTTTGTAGCTGAACATTACCATCCTAATTGAGCCCCTAGGTTTTATCAAGACGTCATGCTTATTGTTCAAATAGCTGAGTTTAGGACATTCACCAGATATTTCAAGCACTTTATCTGATCGTGTCTGAAAGCCAGAAATAAGAACATAAAAGGTAGGAGCCGTAGGGAGATTGCAAGTTGATGTAGTAGATTTGGCCTATGACGGCTTAACTGCCTGTGCAAAGCAGGTGTATCATGGGAGAGAATCCAGTATTGTAAACTGAACTCTTACGAGGACGTGGCTGAATTCTTTTCCACCGGTGTGTACTTTTTCTAAGTCAGGCATCAAGGCTTAGATGATTCATGCATTGATTGAAGCATTTAAGAAATAGGCCAGCTTGTTAGGGACATAGACCTTTACGCAGCACTTGAGCAAGACAAGTGTGCCTGTTTTTTCTGCAGAGTACAGTTGACACAAAGCGTGCCAGCCATCATGAGAGCAATGGCTTTGCCGGTCGCATTCACCTCTTGCCAGATCTCTTGCAGCAAAGCCATTCCTCCTCCACTTCCTCCACCTCCTCCTCCCCATCCTCCAGCCAGCCGACACCCACCATGTCCCCACAGACACCCCAGGACAAGCTAACTACTAATGAGGTATGTCTTGCACCACAGCTGGCTGCTTTCATAGGGTATTGTAGCAGTGTTGCCTAATAGCTAGTTTCCAGAGGAGCTTCAGCAAGTGTCCCTTCTGCTCTTCTTCCTGTCACCTACCCCTCACTCCCCAAAATAACACATTTCAGCTCTTATGTGCCAAACCCCTTAACTCTAGAGCAGTTTTACCCCCACCCCCAGACTTGCCGGTTGATTATTCTTGCTTTTTTACAATGAGTCATTAATTGCATGGCTTTTATAAACTTGCTTATACCAATATGTGTTTAAGCTCTATTTTGGGGACAGCCTATATTATGAAAGGTCGCGTTAGGGTAATCTGATTTTTTCAAAAGGACAATACTTCTGGGTTAGCATAAAACTGAGCAAGTGGACCGTAACACTTTGGGGGATGGTACACTGTGTTAGAAAGCTTTTTATGGCCTTACATCAAGAGACTGTTTTTGATATTTCTCAGTGGGTGCAGGGGATGTGTCTGTTAAGAGAGTTTTGATCTCTGGATTACTAGGTTGCAGCTTTAGGTGGGAGAGAGATTTTTCTTCTCATAACATCACTACTGTTTTGGAAGCTATTCAGCAGCCTTTAAAGAATATGTGAATTTTTGTAAATTAATCAGTTAGTTCCTAATTTGGAACAGTTTCCAATTCTATAAAAGGCTTGCATAGGTTTCAAACAGGGGCATTGTTTCTTCTGCAGAACCTCTTACTGTCTCTCAGATAAAAATGTACATAACACTAAGAATAATGAGGTCACTCTGGATCTTTGCCGCATTCAGTACAAATATACATATTGCTCTCCAGAGTTAAGTTCTTAAAGCATTGCTTCTTTCAAGCAGAAGACAGCTGTGCACAAGCTGTTTGGTCAGGCACATGGTGTCACTGTAAACCCAGTCTTACAGTTTTATCCATGATTTTAAAATAAAACTTTTAAAACAGTTGTATGACTGTTCATGAGATACTTTAAAAGCAGTTTGAAAAGTGGATTGCCCACCTGCAGAGGGAATGGTGCTGACTTTCACTTGAAAACCTGGAAGGAAGCTCCCCACACCTTGAATTTGCATTTGCTGTGAGCTTGGCTTTCATATTATGTCTGTCTTCACCCTTGAATTTCATCATGAGAAGACAGAGAAATTTGTTTTAAAGCATAGCATGTTGTAGGTGCGGTTTGAATCCCCCACCCCACCCCGATTCACCCCCTATGCCATTCCTGTGGGTCTCTGTCCCCCCAGGAGAAGCATTTCAAGGAGGTTAGTGGGCTACAGTGAGATGAGGAGAGCCAGGAAAGGCCCATTTCACAGATAAAAGTTCCTTCCATTAGCAGGGGGGAAAGACAACAAAGTTACATGGTGTTTCAGCATCGGACTTGATTCATGCTGAGTGTTAGTTTTTTTTCTTTATCATTGTCTTTGTGGTGGTTTGAGTTCAGTTACTAAAGTATCTCATGTTCATACAGGCAACCATTGATCACATTAGAAAAGGGATGTTGAAATAGGCTACTAATTAATCAGTGCTAATTAATACTAATTAAATGAGTATTAATAAAATCAGTACTTTTTGTATTTGCTCATTTTTAATGAGGGGTTTTGAATAGTTAATTTTAATGATTTTCTGCTGCTTCATGTTTTTGTTTTGTAAGCCACCTTGACCACGTTCTCTGGACGTAGAAATATTCTGTGTAAATAATTTATAATATGCATGATCTGACTGATTTACACTTAGGTTAGATTTGACCATCTTAACAAATGAGTTTAAGATCCCTTCATGTGAACTCATTCAAACTGTATATGAAATGGAATGGACTACATAAATAGCAGGCATGGAATTGAGTACATAAATAGCAGGCATGTGGCATGCAGACTTTCAAGAACGGTAGGGAAATGAAAGGCCATAAGGACATTGCTACAGCTTAATGTGAATCATTCAAAGAATGCCAGGCCTCCTGTTGGTTACTTTGTCCTAAATATCATGTGTGGATCCAGCATCCCATGGCTGCAGCAATCACAAATCGTTCTTTCCCTCATTCCCCTCCTTCAGCAGTCCTTTCCAACCCCAGGAAAATTGTGATTGAAGGGCGCAAATGGACCAATAGCCGTGCGAGTTGGGAAGGGTTCCATACTGTAGAGGGACGAAGAGGGCAAAATCGTTCTCCCATCAGCACAGCTCTGCTAACAGAAGTAGGAGGGGTGATCTTGCACCCTTCCTCAGTGTAGTCCCTCATCCTGTGTAGTGGAGAGGAAGAAGGGGAGGCTCTGCATCCATAAAGTAATAGTATTTGGTGACAAAGAAACTTTTAAAAAGCAAGCTATGTGATTCAAGTCCAACTTTAAGAAGCTTTATGGGGGAGGGGTAGCTTTTTTATTTTTGAGAAGAGCAAATTAGTTCTTCAGGAACAGTATTTTAGTAAGGGAAAACCAAGAAAGCACTTAGAATGCTTGAAAAATGCCTAAAACAAACTGAACACAAGCGACTTAAAACATCACGCTGAATTTTTAACCTGTGTCATTCCGCTTTGACGTGCAGACACTTAACTCACTTAGTCTGGCAAGGTTTTTTCCATTCCACTTTTTATAATTGTTTTTCTTTTACATGTATTTTTCATGTTCTGATTTTTTTTTTAAAAAACCCTTCTGGATGCATCTGTTCCTGAATATCATGTCGTGTCACTATTTACATCAGTTTCCCCTAGTAATCCCCCCTGTTTGATACAGGTTTAATATGTTGCTATGATAGATGATGGTGGAAGAACCTGCTGCAGCTTTCTGGCAAAAGACTCAGTTTTGTTTTGTTTTTAACTGCAAGATTCACAGTTGTTCTAACATTAACCAGACCTGAAACTTGCATCAGTTCTAGAATTTGTGCCTGATCCCTACGTGCTCAAATTAGGCTGGATGTGGAGATCCTATTTCCCATTTGACTATTCTAGCTCAGTTTAAAAAATGCTTAACAACAACATAAACAAACACACTAGAAGTTTACAGTTCCATCCTAAGAAGAGTTACGTGTTTCTAAGTCCATTGAAGTCAGTACGCTTAGAAGGGTACAACACTGATTGTGCTGTCATAGTTGGAAAATGAGAGAGAGAGAGAATATGGCAGAAGTAGCAGGAAGTATTCATTTACAAAAGTAGCTTATGCCTTCTTTAATGAACACTTATTGAAAATGGTTGTAAACCTCTAAATAGAAAGGGTAGATGCCGAACTATGCTTTCACAGCAGTTTATTGAAATCATGCTTATTGTAAGATGATGTGCATGTTCACTTATGTGAAAATTGCATTTGACAAAAAGGGATGCGAAAACTTCTATAAATGGTACTGACAAATAGCAACTTGACTTACTTTTGTTGGCTTTTAATCATAATTGCTGTTCATGATGATTATTAATTAATCTGATATTTACATTGCAGACTCAGTCCGCTAGTAATACACTGCAGAAACACAAATCTTCCTCCTCCTTTACACCTTTTATAGACCCCAGATTACTACAGATTTCTCCATCTAGTGGAACAACTGTGACTTCTGTTGGTAAGTAGTGTGGCTGGAGGTTAGCTGAATAAAAGGAATAGTAATTTAAGCCATCTGCTAAAAATGTCTATAAAAGTTTACTGTGTTTATTTAGTCTTTCCTTTTGTTTCTTATGAAAATAAAGGGGAAAGTCTTGCAATTGTCTGTACTCTTCAATATCTTAGATTACTGTGTTTCTCTCCCCTCCTTTACAGTAGGATTCTCTAGTGAAGCAATGAGATCAGAGGCAATAAGGCAAGATCCAACCAGAAAAGGATCTGTTGTTAATGTGAACCCTACCAATACACGGCCACAGAGTGACACCCCAGAGATTCGCAAATATAAAAAGAGATTCAATTCTGAGATCTTATGTGCTGCCTTATGGGGTATGGAATTCTATGTTTGTTCTTACTTCATTGCCATATTAGAGTTTCAGATAATGTCTAAAGTTATGGAAAATCTTTCAGGACATCAGATGTTATTACATAAAGTGTGCATATACAGTGTGTGCACCAAGGAAAAGGTGGCATGTTCGCAAGGTGTCCTGAAAGTAAATCTCTATGATCCCTTCACTTGATACATTTTTTCTTTTAGTGATCATTTTAATGAATATTCTTGGAATAAGATTTCAGTGAGAATGGTGCAGTTGGAGAAATGGCGAACTGCCAACACAGCATCTTTTGGGGGGGGGGATTTTGGGCTTGTTATAACAGCGTTCCATGCGCCTCGGCATTTAGTCATGCCAGCCACATGACCACGGAAATGTCTTCGGACAGTGCTGGCTACTCGGCTTGGAACCGGAGATGAGCACCGCCCCCTAGAGTCAGATTCAACTAACTTCCGAGCAAGGGAAACCTTTAACTTTACTTTTATTTTATCTTTGGTTTTAGCTGAAGATGTTTTAACTATTATTGTAAGCCACCTTGAACCAAGAAGGAAGGCAGGATATAACTTTTAATGAACAGACACAGAGAAATGATTTCTGCTTTAAGACCATTTCTGGGATGTTAGTGAATAATTCCTACAAGTGGGAACCTACAAGATTCACTGGGTGGATTCTTATCCTTTGCTTTGGAATTTTTCTGCAACACTGGGGCCTCCCCAGATCTATAGAAAAATGACTTCTGCTGTCTGTATCTGGACCCATCCTCTGGGATTTTCGGTCCACGCTGTGGCCAGGTACAGAATATGATGTTCCCAGTAAATTTACAAAATATATTTGCATAATAAATTTCACATGAATGGTTTCCTTTGGGATCAGCATGTGGGTTTTTGAAAGGCCTTCGACAGAGAACTGGAGCTGTCTCCAGAACTGGCAAGTCAAGAACTCATCTGCCTATTCAAATAAATCTAGGTACTGATTTTATTTTATTTATCGTAGGGGTGAATTTGTTAGTGGGAACAGAGAGTGGCCTAATGCTGCTGGACAGAAGTGGCCAAGGGAAGGTGTATCCATTAATAAATCGAAGGCGGTTCCAGCAAATGGATGTACTTGAAGGTCTGAATGTCTTGGTGACAATATCAGGTAAATATAATTTATTTTAAGAATAAAAAGAACGTTCCTGTCTTTGAATAGCAAAGCATTTGCCATAAACCTTTATGCTTTTATGTCGGCAGCTCCATTTCCCAGTTCTTGTCTATGTCACTAGTATGGTATATGGATTTAATGTCTTCATGCCCAAAAAGCCCATTTGACAGCCATTCAGGCAGGCAGAGTTATTCTTGCAACTCAGTGTGGCTGCTAACTAGATTTTAAAGACTCAGGAGTGGGTTGTGGCTTCCACTTTAAATTTTCTTTCATGGACAATTTCCTTCGACTTCTTTACTTCTTTTGTGAGAGGGGAATGATTTCCAAATATGCCTGAAAGACTCACTGCCTGGTGGGAAAGAATCTGATCTATCCCTCCTGTAGTGTCATATGAGATTTTTAAAAAATTGTTCTGCTATTTAAGATGATTGCAAATTACTGTGATCTATTCTACATGGAGCTGCCCTTGAAAAGTATTTGGAAACTTCAGTTGTTGCAGAGTGTTGCAGCCAGGCTGTTGACTGGAATGGGTTGTATGGACCATATGACTCCCATCTACACTGGCTCCCAATTTGCTTGCAGGCACAGTTCACAGTGCTGGTGTTAACCTACAAACTCCATACGGTTTAGGACCTGCCTGCTCCTTATGAACGTGCCTGACCACTATGGTCATATTTAGAGGCTCTGCTTTGGTTGCCCTCACCTTCTGAGATTCGGCAACCCAGGAGAGGACCTTCTCTGTCATGGCACCAAAATTCTGGAACTCTCTCCCCAGGGAAAGTCATGTGTCCCCTTCTGCTGCCATCTTCCACCAGTGGGTGAAGACTTTTTTGTTTCATTTGGCATTCTCTCAGTGATCTCTTCTTCCTGACGATTGTTCTAATTGTTGTTTTTATGCCTTTGTATGTATTTTAGCTTTGTTTTTAATTGTTTTAGTGATATGTGTTTTTGTATGTAGGGTGGTGGTGGTTTTAAATGGTACCATGGCTTGGCATTATATCTACTCTATGTGAAAACACATCCAAGGACACTCTGAAACTCTCTTTTAAATCTAGAACTATTCCTAGATTCAAAAAGCTAGGTTCAAAGCATCTAGGCTTCTGTATCAACTATGGTTAGAGTTGGTCAGACATAATGCCAAGCAGGGCTTTTTTCGTAGAAAAAGCCCAGCAGGAACTCATTAGCATAATAGGCCACACCCAGCACCAGAAACTCATTAGCATATTAGGCCGTGCCCCTGCCAGCACAGCTCATTAGCACATTAGGACGCACCCCCATGTTACCAGAAGTGTCGACATCCAGCCACACCCACCTTTTGCTTGTTATTCTGTTTACCTTGTTTGTTGTCAAAACCCAGGGCTTTTTTTGTAGCAGGAACTCCTTTGCATGTTAGGCCACACACCCCAATGTAGCCAATCCTAATGCATTTCTGCTGTTGGGTGTGGCCTATTATGCTAATGAGTTCCTGCTGGGCGTGGCCAACTTGGGAGCCAGCCGGAACTCCGTTCCTGTGCATTTCTGCCCAAAAATAGCCCTGATACCAAGGCATAGGAAATCTGCATGAGAGTGGGAAAGGGAGCATGTGACCCTACGGCATAACCTTCATTTCCCTAACCCTGTGTGGCTAGCTGGTGCTGATTATTACTGCCCCACAGTGACTTTTTGCATTTTATTAACTATTGCTTTTTAAATGTTGGTCCAAATTTTAAAATTTAGTCCAGCTTTTATGTCTCTGTTAACATAATCAGTATGATGTGTGTCATTTTGAGGAGTTACTGTCTTTTTATTATTATAAAAATTCTACACAGCATAATAAATTCATTGTGATTATATGATAACACAGTTCACAGTATCATGAAGACACTATACTTCCTTCTTTCATCTTGTAGTTAGAGGTCCTGCTGAGTATTAAATACAGGATTTGTAATATTCAACCAGTTTCTAACTGTAGCGTATGCACACTCAGCAGCTCGAGACTCTAGTGCCGTGTGACAGAGTGAGCTCCCATCTCTGGCCCCAGCTCCTGCTAACCTAGCAGTTCGAAAGCAAGAAATTGCAAGTAGATAAATAGGTACCACTTCAGTGGGAAGGTAACAGCGTTCTGTGCGCCTTGATGTTTAGTCATGCCAGTCACATGACCACAGAGAAGTCTGCGGACAGCGCTGGCTCTTCATCTTGGAAACAGAGATGAGCACTGCCCCCTAGAGTTGGATTCGACTGGTTTTCGAGCAAGGGAAACCTTTACCTTTTTTATGTAGATTGCAGCTAGGATTAATTAAGAGTTGCTCAAACTGGTATGTATTTCTCTTTAAATCAGTCTGACGTTACTGAGTGAGGAAATATTGAATACACCAGTTTGGTGTAGTGGTTAAGTGCGCAGACTCTAATCTGGGAGAACCAGGTTTGATTCCCCACTCCTCCACTTGCACCTGGCTGGATGACCTTGGGCAAGCCATAGTTCTGATAAGAGCTGTTCTTGAAAAAGAGCAGTTTCTGTCAAGAGCTCTCTCAGCCCCACCTACCTCACAGGGTGTCTGTTGTGGGGAGAGAAAGGGAAAGGAGGTTGTAAACCGCTCTGAGACACCTTGAGTATTGAAGGGCGGGGTATAAATCCAATCTCTTCTCTTCTTCTTCTTCTCCCTCTTGCTCCCTATTTGCATACTTAGGGGGCGGGGCTAGTAAAAATATAGATGTATATATTCTTCTGATTCATCTCATTTTGGGGGTATGTTTTAAACACAGTATTGAAATACAAACTGGTACCATTTAAACAGTGCTTTAAACAACTGGAAGAAGGTAATGAGAAACAGGTGCTGTATTTGATTCTAAAATGTTGGGATTAATAGCTTGGGGAATATGATTCAGTTAATCCCTTGCATGTGGAGATAGACGTGTGTGCATCTAAGCATATGACGAGGAGCTGTGTGTGTGTATGAGAGAGAGAATAAATATGGTTCAAGTTATGACACTGACATCGTTGTAACAAAAGATCTGTACATGAAAACAATGCTACGCAAGTCAGGTGGCGAAAATCTGTGGTTAAAACTTTTCTCTTTTTATTTGTTTATTGCGTAAGTAGAAGTCCAAGACTTCTTGCCCTGTTCAGTTGTTACAGTTGTGTATTGTTTCCTCTTTTGAAGCATGTTAAATTAACCCTTTAGTTGGGTAATCTGTTAGTAATCTGTTAGAGAAGCCAGTTTGGTGTAGTGTTTAAGAGTGGCAGGCTCTGATCTGGAGAATCAGGTTTGATTCCCCACTCTTCCACATGCAGCTGCTGGGTGACCTAGGGTCAGTCACAAGTTCTCTCAGCTGTTGTCTCAAGAGCAATTCTCAGTCAGAGCTCTTTCAACCCCACCTGCTTCACAGGGTGTCTGTTGTGAGGAAAGGAAGGGAAGGAGATTGTAAACTACTCTGAGACTCTGAGTGAAGGGTGGGTTATAAATCCAATCTCTTCTTCTCCTAAGAAGGGATACCTTAAATAGTTAGCAAAGGAGTGTCTTATCCAAAAAAACAATAATTTTGAAAGGCTTTTTTCCCTTTTAAAGACTCTCTTTGTAGTTCTTCTAATTATTTAGTACTCCTTTGGAAGCTAACCTTTGCATGCTAAAAGTAGTATCTTCTTTTGTGGACATACAGCTTTATTGTTTATATGTTAAACAGCTGATTTAACCTAGAAAATAATTAAAGCGTGGTTTTATTTAGAAGAATATTGAAGGTTAGGTCTGTGTAGCAGGAGTAGTGAAATTGCTATCATGATATACAATCCAGCCAAATCTCTGTTCCAGTCACTTCAAAAGGCAATATTTAAGCATATTCTTAACTCCCTCACTGAACTCAGTTGAGCATAAACGTATTTAACTTTAGGTGAAATTTGTCTAGTATTTTTTTGTTATGCAGATAATCTGGAAAGGCGGGATATAAATATAAACAACATTTAGTAAGGTTGCATCTTCTTTGCAAGGAGGGGGGAGTACAGAATAGCCTGCATTTTTGACCCCCATATAAAGGGCAGCATCACTTTTTGTAACACAGAGCTCCTGCAATGGAGGCAGGAACTCTGCAAAGAAGTGTGAAGGCTGCAGGTCAGTTAAAATGGCCAGAGGGAACAGGGGGTGGAAGAGGCTGAGGAGGAGCAGCAGCATCAGCCCAGCACCTCAGCCTCCAAGAGCCCAACCAGGAAGGATCCCCAGTGCTGGTCCTCAGTAGTGAGCTGGGAGGTTGGCGACATCAGGGAGGCCAGGCGTGCCCTGGTGGAGGAGTCAGCGGAAGTGATGGTGAAGGAGTACCTTGCCAAGCCCCCTGAGCCGGCTGAGTCCAATCCCCTGGAGTACTGGTCATGCAAGGCTGCCATCTGGCCTGACCTGTCCTGTGTGGCTATGAGTCTCCTTTCCTGCCCTACATCAGTGTCCAGAGTGAGTGGGTTTTCTCCCACCTGGGAGACATCTTCACACCCCCCCACTGCTCACGCCTGGTCCTGGTGGATAAACTGGCTTTCCTCAAGTCCCCCTGATGGGCTACCCCTCTCTGGACCTTGGGGGGTAAAGATCCAGTACCCCTGTAGTTCCTACTTCTTCACAATTTCTGTCTCCCCCCCCATCCATACATGCCTCTTCACCAGATCTGTCCCCCCAAGAATTGTCTCTTCCAGCCTCCCCCATCCACATTTGCCTCCTCATGACTTGTGTCCCACCAAGAATCATCGCTTCCACCATCCCCTTGGCCACCCCGTTGGGGAGGTGGGGCATCCCAGGGAGATCTGTGAGTTAGATGCCTCTAGCTTGCAGGGGGGACTAACAAAGGGCAGTTGCAGTCATTGAGTGAGGTCAAATGTACAACCATTAAATCAGAATGCAAGTTCATGTGATGCTCTGTATGGTATATGGGTAGGGTTGCCAAGTCCCCGTTGTATGTACAGCGGGGGGGGGGACTCCAGCCCCATTCCGGGAGGGAGCGCACACGTGCGCCGCAACCACATCACTCGGAAGTGATGCGGCCGCGCCGGGTACGCCAGGGATGGGGCTGCGGTCATCCGAGGGGAAAACATAGAGTTTTCCCTCAGATGACTGCGGCCCCGCCCACGGCGCACCCGGCGTGGTTGCATCACTTCCAGGTGACGTGCTGACACCGGGCACGTCACGTGCTTTGGGGGTGGGGTTCCCCCCGGGGCCCGATCCGGCAGCGGTGGGTAACGGGCCTCTGGGGTGGGGGTTTCCCCGCACCCCGGGGGGACTTGGCAAGCCTATATATGGGAACACTACTGACTCTGTGTGCTCCAATATTTTTTAGATCACAACTGTGTTTAGAAAAATTAGGGTATTTTCCCTGGACTCTGAAGAAAAGCCCAGTTCAATAGGTTCTGTTTTACTATCTCATCTGTAACTGAGGAAATACTGTGTAAGTTGCAAAAGCTTACAACCACCCACCCACAGGAATTGGTCTAAAAGTAGCATTCCAAAGCTGATCTGTCATTTCTTCTTCCCTGTGCTGAGTGTGAAAATAATAGTAACAAGGAATGGCCATGGAGAACAATGTGTTTATTTTTAGAAGCTTGTTTATTTTATTTATTTTGTTACTTTGCACCATGCTTCCATCATGGAATGTGAGGTTCCTAGGAGCTCTACCATCTACATACTACCCAAACCCAGATTTACTTTGATTCAGTAAGGCCTATCTTCCAACTGTTATCCTGGCACCATTTTCAGCTTCATGGTAATTTCTTAAAGACCTAGCCATTGTGTTGCAAAAGATAGAGTGATGAATATTTATCTGATAATTCTTCATTCTAGACACCCTGGCCTTCCTACTCTTTCTAACCAATATTAAGTATTACTACAAAATGAGTAACTTCCATACTCTAGTATCCATATTGTTTTTCCACGGATTATTGTGTTTTTAAAACTTTTGTAGTAGGCTGGGGTCTTCCTATAACCAGGTGACAATCACAATTGTGAAATTCAGAAGATAAATGGCAGCTGCCACTACTGCAGTTCTGCTAAATTTACCAAGGACTACTTTATGAAAGTGGGGGGAAAAGATTCTTCTCTGGCTGAATTGCAGAGGCTATTTTCATCAGCTTCCTCTTTTGCCAGTAGCTTCCTGTACGTCTGAAATGTCACTTCTGAGGGTCAAGAGACCTTCCAGAACAAGAGGCCGTGTGACAGAGGGAAGCTTTAACAAGGACTCAGCAAGAGTTGCCTCTTCTTGCACGGACATAATGTGCTCATAGTGCTTGGTAGGAAGGCTGTTCCTACCAAGTCATTTCTTCCATTTCTGGAGAGCCCCATCATCTGCAGTGACGTTTCAGAGGTATAGGAAAGCTGTTGAGGACAGGGAAAGTTGATGAAAACTTCATGTAAGTATAAAATCCATCCCAGTATGTAGCTTACACCTGAGCTACTAATTTGTAAAAGAAAAGTTTTGTCCCAACCATGTTCAGTTTTTTTTGGTAATTGGCCAACTTTGATTCTAGGCAAGAAAAACAAATTGAGAGTTTATTACTTGTCCTGGTTAAGAAACAAAATCCTTCACAATGACCCTGAAGTAGAAAAGAAACAAGGCTGGACAACTGTGGGTGATTTGGAAGGCTGTGTGCACTATAAAGTTGGTAAGTAATGCATCATGCTAACTGTGAACTCATCAGAAAGACAGCGTAATGAAAAGTTACAGTGTTCTGAGCGGCCTCTTAGATCTAGTTCCAAGTGCAGAGTTACATGCACAAAGTATGTTGCTGTTATGTGGATTGTTTTTCAATGATTCTGAACATGGCAGAGATTAATTGGATCAGAGCAATCATCTGAACTAAATTCTGATTTGTAGTTTCTTTATAAAATGTATACAAGCCTCTTGTCCTGTAGAGGAACATATAAACATCATCAGGAAGTCGTTTATTGCATCTGATGCTGGCTCCTTTTCAATGAAAAGACTTCCTCTTAACGTATAGACTAATTTTAGATGTAACTTAAAACTGTGTTTTTGATTATTAGGAGAGTTTATTTTGAATCCCCTCGCCCCCATTATTTCTTTCATGTCCTCTTGGCTATTTCTTATCATTACCAAATAGTCACTTAGGGTTATATTTTTCAGTATCATTCCCAGCTGGATTGATAGAGCAGCTTTTTAACTATATAGTAACAGCTATTTCAGAAGTCAGTGGAGTAATGCAAGAGAAATCCTTTAGAATTTGATGGCAGGAAAGGTAATATCTTGTACTAAACTCTATTTTAGTGAAATTATGAAATTTGCAACAGCCATTTGCCATGTAAACCGCTCGGAGCCTCCGGGATTGAGCGGTATAGAAATCGAAAGTTAAATAAATAAATAAAATAAAAACATGAAAATTCATATTGGGAATTAAATTAAGCATCTTGGCTGCTATTCTTAGCTATATGTGCTCACCCCCAGTCCTGTCTGTAATATGAGGTCAATGATATTGATGTACCCTACAGGTCTGTTTTATGAGTTATTGAGAAAAGGGTGAGTCACTTCATGTCCCAGGACTTAATTTATAAAGATTACGTCTTGAATGTTAATCTAAATTGTCCTATTAAAGAGCTCTTACATCTCTATAAATATACAGATGAATAAAACTAAAGTTTTGGAGAGAAAGAATATACTTTTTCAGTGATCCATGTATAAATTAAAGTGCCTTAGAAGAAACTTCCCTTCCTTTCTGTGAGAAAAGGAAATACGTTTGTTCTAAAATGTCACCTATGTATTTTATGAATTTGTGTTGAAAATAGCTTTCTAATTTATACATATTTTATTAATGAGTATGTTGTGAATTAGTCAACCCTAAATATTAGCGTTTAACAGTGCTAGATATGAGCTTTTACCATTCCTTTCATTGTATAGTTTCCATAAAGTTAAAGACAAATTAAATATCTAGGAAGCTTTTGGGTAGCTGTTGCTGGTGTAAGAATTGATATAAGTGTGGAAAATATCTGCCTCAGTGAATTAAAACTTGATTAAATAAAATATGGGCTTTGTGTGAAATAACTGAAATCTCTTATTGAAAGATGGAATTATCTCTAAAGTTCATTTTCTGAGAACACTAGTTAATAATCTGTTAGAATAGCTGTCATGTTTAATTCTGTTATTGAATCTTATGTGTTTTTAAAATATTCATGTAGTGATTATTTCTTCTGTTTTTATAGTTCCAGAGCAGTTTCAGTAAAGATCTTATTTTTTCCCCAATTGTAATTTGTTCTGGATCTCACAATATAAAATTCATACGCATTATCTTTTTAAAATTTCAGTAAAATATGAAAGAATCAAGTTCTTAGTAATTGCTTTGAAGTGTTCTGTGGAAGTCTATGCCTGGGCACCAAAGCCATACCACAAATTCATGGCATTTAAGGTAAGGATGTCTGTAAGAGAAGACGGTACCTGTCCACCAAGGTATTTAGGGGGTCAAAACGGAAGTGACAATGGGAGATCTCGAAATAGATTTCCTACTGGTTTTTAAAAGAGTCCTGATCCTGTTATCTCAGGCCCTCCCTATCCCCAAGGCTGCTATTCGCCCTACTTGAGAGAACTTTTTGCTGCCTGTATGTTACCCATGTAGGCAAATAGCAGCCATAGTCATCAGAATAAAGACTGGGATTGTGAAAATATTGCAGAGTTAAATATACATGCTGATATGCTGCTGTCCCAAACCAGATACAGCTTTCCTCCCCCTCCCAATCTCCCACTGTCCCATAAAGGTGACACCCTTTATTTGGACTTTTTCCAGGCATTAGTTTTCATGTTAAATATACAATAACAGGATTTTAGAAGATCAGAAACCAAGAGATAATAAAACTTCAGATCTTTCCTGGAGCTGGGTTTTTGCTCAGGTTGTCTGCTCATGTTCTCATTTGTTTAAAAAACTGGGGGAAAGGCAAAACACCAAAGTCAAGCTGTTCCTTGGGCCTTATGGTCTACTGCTCCAGGTTCCCGACTTTTTGCCTGTGATGCTGCAGCCCAGCAGTGACCTTTCAAACATAGTTAGCAATGGTACAACTTTCCTAGACTGCTAAGTAAGTTTAACACCTGAACAGTGATAGGAATTCATTGGGTTGAATCCTGTCTAAAATTTCCTTGCATAGAAGTCATTCTGTGCATGGAAGTATGGCTTTCCTGTCCTGCTGCAGCCTGAAATGCCCCATCCCCTGAAAAGCTGCTGTTGCAGGATAGGTGTCCCCCAGCAGCAGCATGAAGAGAAAGTTGGAGGGCTGCTGTGTTGTATTGGGAACACCTCCACCGCCAACACACATGGATCTTTTAGACAGACTGTGTATTTATCTTGCTTGTCCAACTGGGTCTCTTAGGTGGACAGATGTTATTGATAAGTAGCTGTTTTAGATTATGGTGATTCATTATTGAATTTTATAGGAAATCTGACATGAATTAAAGCTTGCATGTCACATTTTAGATTTCCTGAATAGCAAGATAAAATAATCACATTTTAAAAGGAAAGACTGCAGAATTATTACATGCTTTTGGTGGTTTAAGCCTCCTTCTAGTTCCTAGTATCTGTTACATTAAAAAAATTACCCTAATGGAAGAGCCAGAATACAGAAGGGTATGTCAGGATGACAGCATGAATGAGACCTGTCTCAATCCAGTCTGCTAAGTATATTCACGTTTTGTGTGGGGTTTTTTTATTTGTGTGTGTGTGTGTTTACAGTCATTTGGAGACTTGGGACATAAGCCATTATTAGTGGATCTTACTGTAGAAGAAGGCCAGAGACTGAAGGTGATCTATGGCTCCTGTGCTGGATTCCATGCAGTGGATGTAGACTCAGGATCCGTGTATGATATTTACCTCCCAACACATGTAAGCATCTAAAGTTCTAATCTGTAGGCCATGCTGTGTTATAAAGAGACATGTCCTTACATTCAGTTTACACTTGCAGAATTATTTACCTTTTCTTTTTGTTAAGGATCAGTTTTATAAAGCATTTGCAAAAAATACAGTAATATAAATAATTGGCCAAGAGAGCCTTCAGACATCTGCTCAGAGTTCATGGATATGTATATGTGTTCACAGATCCAGAGTAGTATCCAACCCCATGCAATCATTATTCTGCCAAACACTGATGGAATGGAGCTGCTAGTCTGCTATGAGGATGAAGGAGTATATGTTAATACATATGGAAGGATCACCAAAGATGTGGTTCTCCAGTGGGGAGAGATGCCTACATCAGTGGGTATGTATAGCTATAAGGTTCACAAATTGCTTTATTAGTAAAGTGATATAGAAATAAACAGATGGCTTTAAGCTGGTTAGTGGAGTGGTGAAGTAGTTGGTCACTTGCATGTAGTATGGGACAAACGTAGAAAAACAATTGATTTTATTGCTCGTTTCCAGAATCCTGTAGTCATTACTGTAAAACTGCACTTAATGTGTTTATATAGTGTGTTTTCCAAGTCCTTAAATGCTTCTCATATGTTAACATAACTTAAAAATCTCAAAAGTTCTTCTTTCTGGTATGCAAATATTACTGTATTGTCAGTGGCCGAGGTTAGATGAGGATAGCTTAGCTTGAATCCACTGAACCATATTTGTAGATGGAAGCATTTCCAACTGTAAAACTAAACTTTCTTGCATCCCCCCTTCCACTGTTTTGGATACAGTGGGAAGGGGGAGGTAATAACATCATCTCTGCAAGTGAGAATCCTTCCATCTATAAAAACACTTCAGGTAAAAACACTTCAGGCCATATACTAAGTGTGGC